CACCCACACAAAACATATCTACTAAACTAATTTAATCAGAAGCTTAAAATCAACAAGTTTTAAGGTCATGAGAAACTAATTTAGACCTTTAACTGGTGGTGTAGATCGATAAATAGATAGATAGCACTCTATAAAAAAATATGTGTCTCCATGTGAAATGAAAGCTGTAACATTCATCTGTGCGGATGGGTTTGATCGCCCCTGTTTTGCAGAGTCATAACTGGAAAGGCCCTGGTCATAATATGCATTGTGCAGGAGTGTGTGTGTGTGTGTATGTGTGTGCATCTGCAGTGAACCGGTAGGAACAGCACGTGTTTGACATATACATTGAGAAGAGGTGTATTACTCATACGTGAGCAGCAGTGGGTCTTCACACACACACACACACACACACACACACACACACACACACACACACACACACACACACACACACCTGCATGCGTCAGCACTGCATTGTTTGTTCCATTACAGTCGAACTGAAACTGTAGCTTCCTGCCCTGCTGTACCAACTGATTAGAGATGCTAATAAACACACATAGTTCAGCGCCAGAATAATGAAAGATCGCCTACAACACAATCCTCCACGCTGCTTTAACACCACGGCTATTTTTACACTCGAGTGCACTTAAAAGTTCAGCTTTGACTCGAGTGCCAACACATATTTAGTTTGCATTAATCATGTTCAGAAAGAAACATACAAATGAAGGACATTTATGATAAAAAGCAACAATATTAGTCGTGCAACAAAACCAAAATAGTGCAAATCAGCAATATTTCATGCATTTTTAACTTCTTGAAAGCCTATGAACATGGTTGCATCACAAAAACACTGTGAAAGGTGATTCTGTAGAGTTTTTGTGATGTAATTGTGTTGCATTTATTGTAAACAAAAATACTACTAATAAAAAAAAAAGACAATTTTAAACCTGTTTAGAGCTTGTAAACAGTGTAGCAATGATCTGATAATAAAAAATATTTAATAATATATACGCCAGTTTTATTTTTACACTTAAAAGTTAAACTCCTAATACTTTTACACAAGTGCCAACAAACATTTGATAGTTTATATATACATTTATTCGTTTAGCAGACACATAAAGAAACTTACAAAAGAAGGAGAATATTTATGATTAAACAGCAACAATATTAGTGGTACAACAAAACCAGAATAGCACACAAATCAGCAATATGTGATGTGTAATCCTCAGCTGCGTCACAAAAATGGCAAAAGTGATTCTATGTTGCATTTACGGCCGTTTATGGTAAACAAAAAATACTGCTAATAGAAATCATCATTTTAGATCTGTTTAGAGGTTGTTAAATGATGATTCATAACAAAAGTGCATTGATGATTAAATGTCATATTACTAGTATGGGATTTTCTTTAATGTCCAGTTTCACGATGTGAAAGCGCTTGCTCTCGATTCCGCTTCGCCCACAGATATGCGCAGTCATATGTTTCTTGATGAATACAAAAGATGAAAAGACAAAATAGGTTATACGGTGTTTGTGTATTAAACAAACACATCACGTCAAGCCAAGTGAACTCTGAAACAAAGAAAAAGTGTCTGGTGCATTCGCATAATCTGCCGTCCTAACAGCTTTCAGGCCGTCAGTTTCTCATGCGCTCTTCACCCAAATATACTACACACCCCAATTCCCATTCGGGAAAATTATAATGCCGTGAGTCTGAGCTGCCAATCCATTCAAGTGTATTTATAAATGTATAAAAGCCAGCTGATGTGAATCACAGCCTGTTCTCGGTTTAATCAAGTTTGTGTTGCACATTTGTGACTTTTTACAGGATTTAAGCGATTAGGCCGAATCACAATTCAAACATTAAACACACATCTGTCTGTGTGTGTGTGTGTGTGTGTGTGTGTGCATGAGGATTACTTCTTATATCTAATGCTTCAAGAATCATTTTAAAAGCCTTTGCTGACACTTGTTTGCTTTAAAAACATGTTCTCTTTCTGAGAACTTCACACTTGTCGTGCTTTTTCATCTGTTCCGTTTAATGTTAACTGTTTGGGTTTTTTTTCACAAGATCTTAATCTTAACCCTTTGCTTGACATTTAAGGTTAAAACTGTTTGTCAGCTTATTAAATTCCTGCAAGTCTTTTCATGCTTTTTACATGAAGGTTAAATATTATTTAAATAATATAATTTATTCCAGAATAATAAATGGCTGTATAAATTAATAAAATGCTTAATAGATGCTGTGGCAACCACATACTGTTTCATATATTTAGAGAGAGTGAGAAAATCGCAGTATGCATACTTAGTATGCAATATTCAGTAAGTAGCATGCTAGGATTGTGTAAACTAAAGTGACATTAAAATGCTGTTTTAAAAACATTAAGTGTTTTTCTCACCGTAGAACGGGTCTCTACTACGTGCAAAAATTTAAAATACAGAAAAAAATTATTGTAAGGATGGCAATAATAAGATCAAGTTTAGTCCATTTCCGAACCATTTTTGCGATGCATTTTTGTTGTGTATTTTGTTTATTGTAAAATCAATGCTTTCACATTAGACAGAATTAGATATTGAGCAGAGATAATAAAATATTATTATTTCCAAATTAACAAATTAATATATAAATGGATAAATAAATACTGTGTTAAAAACTCTGAGACATTTTTGCAATGCATTGTTTTTATTTATTGCAAAATCACTGCTTTCACATTAGACAGCATTAGATATTGAACAGAAATAATTAAGTTATATTATTTCCAAGTTGATAAATTAATATATAAATTGATTATTATTGTAGAAACACTTATAAATTTGTGAATGTCATTAATTCGATCAAGTGTGATCAATTACCAAGCTATTTTTGCAATGCACTTTTTTATTTATTGTAAAATCACTGCTTTCACATTAGACAGCATTAGATATTGAGCCGAGATAATAAAATATTATTTCCAAATTAATATATGAACTATGTTAACACTCTGAGACATTTTTGCGATGCACTTATTTATTTATATATATATATTTTTTGTTGTTAAAGCAATGCTTTCACATTAGACAGCATTAGATATTGAGCAGAGTTAATAAATGAATATATGAAATGATAATGGCAACATTTATAAATCTGTGAATGCCATTCATTAGGTCATGTATGATCAATTTCTGAGCTATTTTTGCCATTGTAACGTCAGTGCTAATGTGGTGCTTTCTCAGGTGAGCCGGAGCACTGTCTGGGCTCTGAAGGCGAGGATGAGGGCAGCGTTTGGGGGATGGAGGTTCTGGACAGCAGAGATGCTCAGGATAAAGTCAGTCTGACGCCCAGCGAGGGCACGGAGCCCGGCAGTCCCGTCCCGTGTGCGGAGAGCTGGGCTGACACCGAAACCACACCGCTGAAAATCACAGCCGCAGACCCCGAGCACTGTAAGTCCAGTTAAAACCAAAACAGGGTTTTACAGGAGAATCCTTTTTATACTCCAGAATAAAACATCTGAAGAACTTGTAATGAAACATCAAGAACATTTTTAACAGCGAAGCTGTATGTAGTACACTATACAGTGTACTTTGTACATCCAGTCACCATTGTAGTATGCTACATTGTTGTCACAATGTATTATGTGTTATGTACAATGTGTTATGTTACTTCTAGAAAATAATACTTGTATACATGATCGAGAAAAAAAAAACTTCCAAATATCTATTAAAGAATTTAATGAATGAAATGGTTTTTTTAAAGAATGGCATGAAGTGTTTTTCTCATCCTTGAACTGGTCTGTACTAAGTACAAAAAAATAAAAGTAAAAGGTAGAGGTTATGTGACAACAATGTAGCATACTACTGTCTGAAAGTGTTGCATACTGAATACTGTTCCTCATATTATTTTTAGGTTAGAAAATCGCAGTATGTATACTTAGTATGCAGAATTTGGTATGTGTTATGCTAGGATTCTGAGCAAAATGACCTAAAGTGATATTAAAACCTAGTTATTAGTGTTTTTCTCACCCTTGAACTGGTCTGTAATAAGTACAAAAATTAAAAAATGCAAAATAAACGTTTTTTTTAATAATGATGACTGGATGCTACTCTCATGTTGAAGTCATGTGACAACAATGTAGCACAATGCTGTTGCATACTGTTTCACATATTTTTTCGTCTTAAAATAGCAGTATGCATACTTAGTATTCAGTAAGTAATATACTAGGATTTCATTCTAAAGCCTAAATTGACATTGACCTAAAGTGACATTAAAACCCTTTTTTTTCCTCACCCTAAAACTGGTCCATACTAAGTGCACAAATTTAAAATGCAAAATAAAAATAAATGTATATTAAAAATGACCGGATGTTATTCTCACATTGAGGTCATGTACTGTTTCACATATTATTTGTCAGTAAATAGCAGTATGTATACTTAGTGTGCAGTATTCAATAAGTAGTATGCTAGGATTGCATTCTGAACAAAGGGACCTAAAAGTGACATTAAAACCTTAAAAAGTGTTTTTCTCACCCTTGCACAGGTCCATACTAAGTACAAAAATTAAAAATGCAAAATAAAAAGTTTGTGACAACAATGTAGCACACTTCTGTTGAATACTTCATACGGTTTCACACATATTTTTGTCAGAAAATAGCAGTATGCATACTTAGTGTGCAGCATTCAGTAAGTAGTATGCTAGGATTTCATTCTGAACAGCCTAAAATGACATTATAACCCAGTTTTTTTTCTCACCCTAGAACTGGTCCATATTAAGTAGAAAAATTAAAAATGTAATGTAAAATGTAGAAATAAATGTATTTCAATAATAGTGACTAGATATTGCGGTCATGTACTGTTTCACGTTATTATCAGAAAATAGCATTATGCATACTTAGTGTGCAATATTCAGTAACTAGTATGCTAGGATTGTATTCTGAACAAAGGGACCTAAAGTGACATTAAAACCATAAAAAAAATTTTTCTCACCCTTGAACTAGTCCGTACTAAGTACAAAAATTAAAAATGCGAAATTAAAGAAAATTGTTTTTTATAATAATGATGACTTGATGCTACTGTCATGTTGAGGTCATGTGACGACAATGTAGCATAATATATATATATTAACTTATTTTTTGCACTTTAATCTTTGCTTACTTTATATATTTTTATTGTATTTATTATTCCATGTACATATTTTTGTTATTTGAAAATGTTATTAAACTTTTTAAATAAATATGTTAATATAAGCATGCAAAAATATTACTTTAAACACCGACTTGATGTAAAGATGCAATGAAACATGAATTGACACGACTAAATAAAAGCATGTCTTTAAGGCGTAATATATCTCAAAATATTCAAAATATCATTAAAAAATGTACATTTAATATTTAAAAAAGACATTTAAAAATTTTTTACATTTAAGTATACATGATATTAGCTGAACAACAGTTAGAAGTAACAACTAAAAGTGTGCAATTGCAGTATATTTATCATCTTTAGATAAGAGTAAATGTTTTAAGATGACAACACTGACGTTTGTTTATCTTTCAGGTCAGACTGACGCTCGTGTGATGGACGGCCCGATTCACGCTCAACAGCGCAACGGATCCGTGAACTCGTACCATTTAGACTGCGCTCAGGGCGACATGTCGCCCGTCTGCTGGTCACCAGGAGAATACGAGTCACCCGAGGGCAAAGGTCAACTAGTAGTGCTTGTCATGAAATTCAATTTTTAATTGTTTTATAATGTTTCCTGGGGTGCAAATGTAATCATAGTATGGTTTTTTAATCATAATTTAGATTGGAAGGGGCGTGTCTTCAATGTAAACACCCACTGCTATGATTGGCTGCCATCTTTGCATATGAAATGAGCATTACATGTGGAACTCGTTTGAAAACCTTTACTGTGTTTTTACTAGGGATGCAACAATACAGTTAGCCCACGGTTCGATACATACCTCGTTTTTTTTAACCACAGTTTTCGGTTTGGTTCGGTTCGGCTCTAATGGAGTGTTTTTTGCAATTTAAAATGTGCTTTTTAAAACAAATTAACAACAAAAACTTCCGGTAAACATCTGTACAATGGAGAAAGACGTGGATTATTATATGTCTACTTCAAATTTCTTTTGAGAGAGGTATTATTTTTCCTATTTTTACCCAAAATAGGATGGATTGCCCATTATTGAGCTCTATAAACACATGTAATGTCTGATTCACTTCATACTGGTAGCCAGAGGGCGCACTCACGCAGAAAATCCACTTATGCATCACAGAAGTAATAGAACTGATGACGTTCCAGGAAATCCTCTATAAACACATGTAATGTCTGATTCACTTCATACTGGTAGCCAGAGGGCGCACTCACGCAGAAAATCCACTTATGCATCACAGAAGTAATAGAACTGATGATGTTCCAGGAAATCCCTGATATGGACAAAGGCGTCGCTCTCGCTGTGACTGAATAAAAAGATAGAAACGTTTTGAATGATGAAACATGAAGACAATAAACACTCGCCTGAGACAATATATAGTTTTTCTGAGTTCAAGACATCTCGGGTGTTTTCATAATGATTAAGTATATTTGTAATCCATTGCTAATCGACATAGCTTTTTTTTTTTTTACAGCGAGCAACCGCGATTCACAAGCACATATTGAACCGTGGATGTCGTACCGGTTCGATATTATATTGAGAATTGTGACATCCCTAGTTTTTACTATAACAACCTCTCCTATGCATCAGTATCAAGAACATTTTGAATCTCCATTTCATGACCACTTTAAAGAAATAATTCACTCAAAAAGGATCATTCTGTCATCATTTACTCACCCTCGTCCCAGATAACAGGGAGCGTTCTCTCAACTTTAACCAACTTTATTATGCTTGATATTCATTCTCATAACGTTCTTGGAACGTCGTTACGATCTTATTTGTACTTGATGAACGTTCTTATAAGGTTGAGAGAAAATGTTCTTAGAACAACATTCTCAAAATGCCCTTCTGTTATTTGTACTTAAACATTCGAATAAATATTTTTGTAACTTTTAAATAACATTACAATCACAACAAGAAAACTGGACATTTTAACGTTCTTAGAAAATTAAAAATAAACGTTCAAATAACATTACATTTGGGTAAAAATAATGTTAGTAGAACGTTCTAAGAAATGTTTCTGTAACCTTTAAATAACATTACAATCAAGACAAGAAAACTAGACATTTTAATGCTCTTAGAATACTAAAATTAACGTTCAAATAATGTTATATTTTTGGTAAAAATAACGTTAATAGAATGTTGTAAGTATCATTTTTGTAACATTTAAATAATGTTATAATCACAACAAGAAAACCGGACATAGTTACATTCTCAGACGACTAATAATAAACGTTTAAATAACAATATTTGGGGTGAAAATAACATTAGTAGAATGTTGTCAGAAACATTTTTGTAATCTTTAAATAACGTTACAATCACGACAAGAAAACTAGACATGTTAATGTTCTTAGAAAATAAAAAATAAACGTTCAAATAACGTTAAATCTTTGGTGAAAATAACATCAGTAGAATGTTGTAAGAAACATTTTTTTACCTTTAAATAAATTATAATCTTGACGATGTTCCCACAACGTTTTTTTTTACCTAAATTTGTTCCCTGGGATGTCAAACCTGTTTGAATTCTTCCTTTCTAATGAAAAACTGAATTGTGACTGTCTATCCATGTAGAGATTGACCGTAATCTCCGATTTCTCTTACGGTGTGCAGACGGTGGAGCCTTGAACCCTGACGTCTCTGTCATGTCTCTGCGGGAACATGTGAAGTTCTGTCAGGACAGGGATGGAGGAGACGGCGTGTGTCCTCTGTGCGGATACAGTACGCCGTACCGCGCTCAGATGGAGCACCACTTAACCCTCCACAGCCAGACTCACCAGAAGGTACTGACATCAAACGCCTGCGTAACAAACCAGCTGCATACAGAAACACAACATGCTGATTATTGCACGTCTGTTCCAGAGCTCCATGTCTGAGTCCGGTCTGGAGAACCGGAAGTTCAAGTGTAATCAGTGTGGAAAGGCCTTTAAATACAAGCATCACCTCAAAGAGCACCTGCGCATTCACAGCGGTGAGAGAGATTCGCTTCAAGCAATGAGGATTCAAATGATACTGCAAAGGGAATCTCAACAAGAAATGCACAAGCCTAAATTATGTTGTTCATAAAGAAAATAAAGCCTAATTGCCAAAAGTTATTTTTAAATGAATGAAAATGACCCTAATTGCCTAAAAATGTCCTAAAAACTGTTATTTTTTAAGTAATGAAAATGACCCTAATTGCCTAAAAAATTAATGTCCAAAAAACATATTTTTATTTATTTTTAAAGTAATGAAAATTACCCTGATTGCCAACAAATTATGTCCTAAAAAAACCCAGTTATTTTTTAAAGGGGTCATATGATGCGATTTCAAGTTGTCCTTTCTCTTTGGAGTGTTACAAGCTCTTGGTGCGTAAAGAAGATCTGTAAAGTTGCAAAGACTAAAGTCTCAAATCCAAAGAGATATTCTTTATAAAAGTTAAGAGTCAGCCACGCCCTCCTAAAACAGCTCGTTCGCTGAAAAAAAGTCAGATACGATGATGTTAAGTTTCTGTGTTTCTCCTGTGCAGGTGAGAAGCCGTACGAATGCTCGAACTGTAAGAAGCGTTTCAGTCACTCGGGCTCCTACAGCTCACACCTCAGCAGCAAGAAGTGCCTCAGCGGCACTCATTATAACGGCCACGCCCATCCCGTGTACCTCTTCCCGTCGCCCATTTTCAGGAAAAAGCTCAATAATCTTATTTCAAACAGAAAACAAGATTATTTAATATTATTTTGCTTGTTTCAGGCAAAAACTCACTTAATATTAGGGATGTAACGATTAACCGCGAGCCGGTTGAAAATCAATTATTTACAGTGGTAACCACGGAAATGCTGTATCATTGCTGTTCATAAGCAGGGCTGCGGTAACCAAGGAAACGCTTTAAGCGCCACCTGCTGGCAGAGAGTTTTTACATTATATTTAAATTTAGTCATTTAGCAGAAGCTTTTATCCAAAGCGACTAACAAATGAAGACAATAGAAGCAATCAAAACCAACAAAAGAGCAATAATTAAATAAAAAATAAAAGTGCTATATTAGAATATTATTATAGTGTTATATTTCAATTTCACAAAGAAACGTGCAATAATTAAATAAATAAAAAATAAAAGTGCTATATTAGAATATTATTATAGTGTTATATTTCAATTTCACAAAGAAACGTGCAGTAGTTTGTCCAAGCGATAATAAAAGGACACATTTAATTTATAATTTGTCTTAAATCTCATTTTGTAAAAATTAAAATCGCGAATCGAATCGTGAGTTGAGTGAATCGTTACATCTCTACTTAATATTGACATGTCTTTTCTGAAAACAAGACAGTAATTTTTACTTGTCTGAAAAATCCTTCTTGATTTAAGAATTTTTAGATATTTTGGCTGGAAACACGACAAAAAAAATCTAAGTAAGAAAAGCATTTTTTGCAGTGCATTTACAATCTATTTATTTGCTTAATTATATTGTGATTTGTATTATTTTTTTCTCTTTTATGTTTTTTCCCTCTTCTCTCTGTCCCCTCCTTTTTTGTCTCTCAAATAAAACTACTTTATATACTATGTACTATACGTATACATACAGCAATCTTACACCAACACTTCACATAACTACATGAAATTTTATTTAGTTGCTTGCATCTTTGTTTGGGCCTTGTTTGTCTGTTTACAGCACTGTTTTCCTATATGTTGTTCTATGTTAACCTGTATGTTGTTCTAAAAGCAAATAAAAAAAACCTAAAATAAAATATGCAAGAGCATCTGTAAAAAGAAATAGTCTTGCAGCTCATTGGTTCAAACGTACTAATAAATGCAAATCTCTCTGTGATATTTCTAGATAAAAGCATCAGGTAATTAAATAATATATCCAACATTAAAAATGCAAATGCTGACCACATAGTTAAAATTAAATTACAATAACTGAATTTAGTTAAGTTAATTGGCGATGTGATGTTATATTGCATTTTCACTTCTTTAAACTGGTTTTTATTTATACATGTAGCTTTTATTTTCTTATGTTAATCGATACATTGCATGGAAAATTGCTTTTAAAAATAATCGCAATTTATTTAAATGAACTGCAATATTTAAGTGGACTTCAAAAAGCTGAAAATATGTGTCCCTGCAGCACAAAAGCAGTGTTGAGTCGCTGGGGGATATTTGTAGCAATAGCCAACAATACATTGTATGGGTCAAAATTATACATTTCTCTTTTATGCCAAAAATCATTAGGATATTAAGTAAAGATCATGTTCCATGAAGATATTTTGTAAATGTCCTACCGTAAATATATCAAAACTTAATGTTTGATTAGTAATATGCATTGCTAAGAACTTCATTTGAACAACTTTAAAGATGATTTTCTCAATATTTAGATTTTTTTGCACCCTCAGATTCCAGATTTTCAAATAGTTGCATCTCAGCCAAATATTGTCCTATCCTAACAAACCATACATCAATGGAAAGATTATTTATTCATCTTTCAGATGACGTATACATCTCAATTTCGAAAAATTTACCCTTATGACTGGTTTTGTGGTCCAGGGACACATATTAAACTGTGTCTTGAAATATTCCCCTAATACGCTCATATTCATATGTACTGTATTTTAATCTACAATCTTGATTTCAAATTGAAATGAAAGTTAATGTTCATGTTTTCTTGTGAAATGCACAGGAACACACTGCATGCAGCTGTAATAATAATAACTCATATTTCCTCCTCCTCCTCTCTGTGTGCAGGCTGAAGCGCTGAGTCGCGGCGGTCTGGAGTATCTGTCTCTGATGGATGATGGGATTGATGGAGAGATCAGTTCTGGGAGGAAGAGGCTGAAGAAGACGGAGGAAGGACTGTACGCCTGCGACATCTGCGACAAAACCTTCCAGAAGAGCAGCTCTCTGCTGCGCCATAAATATGAGCACACAGGTACAGTACAGGTGTATACTGTATATATAATATGCTGATTATTATATTTAATATTTATTTATAAATATTGCATATTTATGTGTGTATATATATAAGTATTGTATATAAATATATACAAATATATAGAAATAAAAAAATAAAATATACAATTTTTTTAAAATATTTGTTTTATAAAAATTGACTTGTGTATATATATATATAATTGTTGATTATTTATTTATTTAATATTTATTTATAAATATTTTGCATATTTATGTGCGTGTATATAAGTATTGTATATAAATATATACAAACATAGAAATAAAAAATAAAATAAGTCAACTTTTATTTAAAAAAAAAATTGTGTATGTGTGTATATATATATATATTGGTTATTATATTTATTTATAAATATTGCATATTTATGTTTGTTCGTATATACAAATATATAGAAAAAAATTAACTAAATTTTTATTAAAATATTTAAAAATTGTGTGTTTGTGTGCACATAAATATATATATATTTATAAAAAGTTTGCATATTTGTGTGTGTATATATAAGTATTGTATATAAACATATAGAAATAAAAAATACAATGTCAACTTTTATAAAAATATTTTTTAAATTGTGTATGTGTATATATATATATATATATATAATTATATTTAATATTATTTATAAATATTGCATATTTATGTGTGTGTTAATATAAACAAATACAGTATCTCACAGAAGTGAGTACACCCCTCACATTTTTGTTATCTAAAATAAAAAAAAACGAATCAAATATAGTGTCTATATTCATATATAATAATAAAAAATCCTATAGAGACAGACACAGAGAGACATATTAGATAAGAGCTACACTTTCTTCTCTCTCGCTGCAGGGAAGAGACCTCACGAGTGTCAGATCTGTAAGAAGGCCTTCAAACACAAGCATCATCTGATCGAGCACAGCCGCCTGCACTCCGGAGAGAAGCCGTATCAGTGCGACAAGTGCGGCAAACGCTTCTCACACTCAGGCTCGTACTCACAGCACATGAACCACCGCTACGCCTTCTGCAGCCGCGACAGCGAGGCTCCCGCTTCAGCGCTGGAGGACAGCGGCGCGTATCTGAGCGACTCCAGCACGGAGGGAGCGGCGCTGGAGCTCAGAGACGAGGAGGAGGACGAGGACGCACTCAGCAGCCGCGCTTATGATGGAGGCGTGAGGATGGAGCGAGTTTCCCTGCAGCTGAAGGACAAACCCACAGATGGAAACCAGCATCAGGAGAGTCCCGAAGGACTCGTGTTTACCAAAGATGTGAAACTGACTCGTCCTCTTTAGTGCTCAAACTGTGACTGTGAACAAAGTTTTCAGCCCAAAACACGCGTTTCTCCAAAGACTTGATTCAGCATTCAGCGTAATCCAGAGCTTCCCTCGCTGTGAGAGGCACAAATGATCTGCAGCGCTACCAGATTAATACATAAATATACTAAATAAATTAATAAATGCCAACAATCTCAGAAAACCTGCCAAAGTCATATTTCACATCAAAATAATAATACACATTAAATTTTGCATAAAATATTAATAAATAAATTATTGTAATGCGCATATATTTTGAACTGCCTTTAATTTATGCTGACATAAAAAATAATCGCATTACGTAAATGTCGTGATGAAAATCTGAAATGGTTTTGAAAGGAGGCTTTTTTTTTTCTTTGCACAAAATATAATTTCGAAAAATTGATTCTTCCAAGAATATGTCAAAGTCATATTTCCCACCAAAATCATAAAAATAAATACATTTGACATTACATTTTGCGTAAAGAAAATGTGCCCGTTTTTAGAACCGTTAAGGTTTTTTCATACTGGCATTAGATTCTTATTAACATAAAGCAAAAAAAATAAACGAAATAAAAATGGAATTATTGTAACGCACATATGTAAATAAAAATATTTTTAAAAATTAAAAAAATAACTGACTTGCGTAAAAGTCATGATGCAGTTATCTGAAATTGTTCTGGAGGCTTTATTTTCTTTAAAAAATATATATTCTACAAAGAATATGTCAAAAGTCATTAAATATGTTGCATATAGAAAATATGCCTGTTTTTAGAACCATTAAGATTTTTCACACTGTAAATTGTCATTACTATAAATACAAATTAAATAAAAAATGTTATATATATATATACATATATATAATTTTTATTTTTTTTTTTGGAGTGAAATATGACCTAGAAGTTTTCTTGAAATTGAGGCATGAGCTCAGGAGCAGTTATTAACACAAGACAACTATATATAGTGAAATATTAAATGTTTCAGTATAATAGCTATTTACAATCTGAGCTTTGAACAGCATTCACCGCTAAGCAGCAGTAATCAAGAGTTCGTTAATGACCGGTTAGCTTATGGCCTTTATGGATTCCTCTGTCATAATTATCTCAAACGGCTCTATAACTATATACTATATACATCGATGAACTGGGAAAACGGTAATGAGACGCATTCAAACCTCAAACTGAAGTTTCACCTTCTTCTCAACACGAGCTCTTCATGAACTCAACAAACACGCGTCAAATATTTGCACAAACTCTGATGCACCAAATAATGTGTTCGTGATGCAATACAGTCCTAAAGTGTCCTTTGGAGAAAGAAAGCATGTGTTGCACTGAAGATGATGCAAAGTCTGCTGATTAAATGAACAGGACAACATCAGCAACATTCGACCACCAAAATGCACACGCTGCTTTAAATCTGCCTTCATTCGTTTAGTGCTCGCCTTTTCGACTTTAACTATTAACTCTGTAAACTGTGCACTATTTTCACCAGTGTTATTTTTATACAGAATTTTTAAGCTTTGTTTAAATGTTAATACATAATCGTTGTAATAAAGTTGTACATATTTTGGAAAATGCAGACGCTGGAGATTTTATTGTGATTTTTTGCACACTAAAAAGCATTTTAGCACAGCATTTCTACTCCGTTTTGCTGGTTTAAAGTAATGTGTTTAGGCTGATTCAGTGATATTTTGACCATTACTTTAGATGCTACAATCTGCCGCTTTAATCATTTTGCTCTAAAACAAAGTAAAATCTCAAGAAACGATATTTGTAATGGTTGTTGAGATGCTTCGATGGTAAAAACAGCAAAAACGTGATGTTCCTACAGCGCAAAACAACACAAACGCCACTAAAGAAATGAAAACTCACCCAGTACGCTGGGTTATTTAACAATAAAGCGTATGTGGAACAAGAGGTGCTTAGTATATAATTTATTTGCTTGTTTTTGACCAGTATTAATGTGTTAACCATCTTATGATCCAGTCCGATTCAAAATAAATCCACAACAGAAGGTCTTTCTGAACAGAAAATGTTTAATTGTGATGTAAATAATATTGTAATGTTATCTTAATCATCCTAAAAATGTATTTTCTTTATGCTAAATATATTTTCCCATTTATTTAGACCCTTAGATAATTATTACGGTCCAAAAAAAAATTATAATTCTAAAACATAAAATGTCTGGATGCTTTGAAAATGTATGACAAAAATGTGTGTCATTAAAATAATATAATGTTTTTTTTAAAGATCCTAAAATTAATTTTCTATATAAATTCTATTTTTTAGAACCTAAGAGAAGTATAAATAAATAAATTAATAATGTAAAATGCCTGGATGCTTTGAGAATTTATTCTGAAAATGTGTTTAATTGTCATTAAAATAATATAATGTTGTCATAATGATCCTAAAAAATATTTTTTCTTTACGCAAAATTTTTTATTTTATTTTTAGAACCTGAATTGAAAAGCGTAAAAGCATCTGGATGTTTTTTAAAATGTATGGCAAAATATTTAATTGTCATTAAAATAATATAATGTTATCTTATTGATATTAAAATTGATTTTCTTTATGCAAAATATAGTTTCTGTTTTTAGAACCTAAGAGAGTTATTACTGTAAAAAAAAAACATTTAAAAAGATTTTAAAAACACAAAATATCTGGATGCTTTGAGAATTCATGGTGAAAATGTCATTAAAATAATATCATGTTATCTTAATGATCCTAAAAATGTATTGATCCTATTATTGATCCTAAAATTGATCCAAAATTATAGATCTTAAAAGTGTATTCTTTATGCAAAATATAATTTCTATTTTTTAGAACCTTAATGAATTATTACGGTTGAAAAAAAGAATGAAAGAAATGCCTGGATGCTCTGAGAATTTAATTTAATCATTAAAATAATATATTGTTGTCATAATGATCCTAAAAAATATTTTTTCTTTATGCAAAAAATATTTTTTTATTTTTAGAACCTGAATTGAAAAGCATAAAATGCTTTGAGAATTTATGGCCAAAATGTTTTTTTTTTTTTTTTTAATAAATTTAATTGTCATTAAAATAATATCATAATGTTATCTTATTGATATTAAAATTTATTTTTGTTATGCAAAATATAATTTCTGTATTTAGAACCTAGGAGAATTATTACGCTCAATTAAAAAAATATTAAAAACGAAAGAAAATAATTTAAAAAAACATAAAATGTCTGGATGCTTTGAGAATTTATGGTGAAAATGTGTTTAATTGTCTTTAAAATAATATCATAATGTTATCTTAATAACCCTAAAATGCAAAAAAAAAAAATTTGATTTTTTTAAAAATTATTATTTTTGACATCTGAGCTGAAATGGTTGTTTTATGAGATCCACCCATTTCTATATAACTTCAGAATAAATCAAAAACAGAAGCTCTTTCCGAACTCTTTTCTGTTTTTATTGTCATAATTCTGAAATACAGAATTTAAAGGGAGAAAAAGCAAGTCACTCTGGCTATGGTCACTCTCTCACACACGCATACAAGCACGCGCACACACAAACTCACTCACTCACACGCACACACACACCTCTGAACTTCCTCTATCTCGCACACACACACACACACACACACACACATGCATGCATGCTTCGGAACAATGGAAAGGGAGTTGCGTCGCATTTTGGAGAGAATTGCATCCAGTTTTATTTCTCCAATAAAAGGCGACTAAATGGCTGAACTGTTCGATTATTGAGTGACACATACAGCTTTATTTGACAGCGGTTTGTCTTTTGTGTTTTTGTGCATTAAATCTGCACGAGCTCTGAGCGGGGAATAGTTTGAGATAAAAACAGTTAAAAGGCACTAGGGATGAAATCGGAAGAGTTGAAAGACGGATCACACACTGTCAGACACACACACACTCTCTCTCACACACACACACACACAAATAAGCTTGAGTGAATCTCACAAAACCCGTCATGAATATTTTCAGGTCACCCAAAAACATAATGAAAAACAAGTTACATTTTGCATAATTATAATTAATTAAATCATAATTTATAATGAATTATTATTACTGTTTTGTCATTTTACTGTTATTTCTGTGGTACAATGGCATAAAACCTTAAGAGAATTTTTACTGTTTAAAAAATATATATATATATTTTTTTTTTTTTTTTATGGTGAAAATGTGTTTAATTGTGAATTCAATAACATCATTTTTTTCCTGCAAAACATAATTATTACTGTCGGAAAAAAACCCCCGTAAAATATCTGGATGCTTTGAGAATTTATGGTGAAAATGTGTTTAATTGTGATTAAAATAATATTATAATGTTATCTTAATGATCCTAGAAATTCATTTTCTTTATGCAAAATATAATTTAAATTTTTTTAGAACTTATGAGAATTACTCCTGTCGAAGAAAAATTTATTTAAAAAATGTAAATGTCTGGATATTTTGTGAATTTATGGCAAAAATGTGCTTAATTGTCATTAACATAATATGGTTATCTTATTGATCCCAAAAAATAGTTTTCATCATGTAAAATATTATTTGTATTTTTATTTAGAACTTAAGATAATTTAATTACTGTTGAAAAAAACAAAAGAATTAAAAAAAGTAAAATGTCTGGATGCTTTGACCATTTATAGCAAAAATGTATTTAATTGAGATCAAATAATCTCATACTGTTATCTTAATAATCCTAAAAATACATTTTCTTCATGCAAAATATAGTTTACATTTTTGTAGAACTTATGACTAGAATTATTACTGTCAAAAAAAAAAGTTAAATGTCTGGATGCTTTGAGAATCTATGGTGAAAAGGTGTATAATTAACAATAAAATAACATTCCGTTATCTTATTGATCCTAAAAATTTATTTTCTTTATGCAAAATATAATTCTATTTTTTATTATTATTTCTGACATCTGAGCTGAAACGTGACCCGGTCGTGTTTTCATGAGATCCACCCATTCATAAACCCCTCTCATACAGTATATATGGTGAGTTTGTGGAGTAATGATGCAGATCTGAGTCCATCTGTCTCCAGACTCGTCCTCGTCCTCGTGTCCCAGTGCAGTCTGGGATTGTGTTCAGTAGGATCCCGTCTCCTCGGCTCCGAAGATCTGCTGGTATTCGCTCAGCAGCAGCTCCACGGCCTGGTTCTGATACACCATGTTAATGGCCATGTTTCCGCTCTCGTTCTCGGGGCGCATCAGCGTGGGGCCGAACACGATGCCGATGTTCTGCGTGGTCATGCGGTTGCTGTCGGAGCGCTCCATCACCCTGAACGGACACAGCGAAGGGTTAATGACCAGTGTTGGGGAAAGGTACTTTTAAAAGTGATGCATTACAATATTGCGTTACTCCCTAAAAAAGTAACTAATTACTTTTACGTTACTTAGTTACTTTTTATGGAAAGTAATGCGTTACATTACTTTTGCGTTACTTTTTAAATATGAGCAGGGCTTGCTTGTTCCTAATATAAGAAGTTCTATTTATAGCAAATGTAAAAGCCCTTTCACACCAAAAAGTGTAGTGAATAAACCTCAGGCTGAAGCAAAAGTAAATTCACGTCTGTACAGTAGAACACAGGAGAAGAAACACTCTTCAGCAATATAAAAACAATGAAGCACAATAGTTAGTTTCTCTAAAGTCATGTTTGCTTATTAGTACGGTTGAACTGGATCAGCAAAGGTCAGCAGCAAAGACAATGGGATTAGATACATTTGTGTTATTTAACATATTTCATTAATGCAGGTTTGCGTCATATTCTGAGTTTGCATTTCACTGTTTTAATT